ATCCAAAAATGAAGCGTTGGACTGTATGCCACCGGTGGCCAGACAGTGACAAATTTTGATGACTCATGAGGGTGGCTCCTCACAAAAATCCGCCAATTTTGAAACATGGCAATGAAGTAAATGACTAAATAAAAAAATAAATAAAAAAAACCAATGTGGTCCTTGAGTCTAACAAAAAGCCATGCACCGAGCAGCAGAATACCATATCTCAACTTCCGCTGTTGTGCAGTTTGTGTCGCATACAAATGATGTCATTTGCTATAACAAGTCCACACACATTAGTACTCAATTGTAATGAGAAACAACTGAAACCCCGTACTTTTAAGTTGAGTAGGTACTAGTGGAAAAGGTCTATTAGAGAAAGGGTGAAGCGTTTGGTCATTCGGGAGGGGCTCAGAGTAGATCTGCTACCCCTCTACATTGAAAGAAGCCAGCTGATGTGGTTTGGGCGTGTCCTACTGGCGACAAGCCCAGAACACCCTGGGGGGGATTACTTTGTGGTCTAGGAAAGCCTCTATGTCCCTTGGAAGAGCTAGAGGTGGCCAGGGAGGGGGAGGTCCAGGCAACTCTGCTTTCAGGGGTGGTGATCTAAGCAGAGAAGTGGCAGAAAATGGATGTAGAGGTGGATACTACTCTCCAGCAAGTTCCTCATCCTGTGGACGGAAACTTTACGGTCTCCACAGCGGCAAAAGCCCTTCTGCTGCAGTCTTAGTGAGCTCAACTTAAGCCCCTTTTCCATTAGTACCTACTCTGTCCTACTTGTCACAACTCTACTCGGATCGACTAGTTTTCCATTACAATCGTGTCCCACCTAATGTTTGCCGTTGTTGTCACAGCAACACAGCTGAGCGTCCCGTGACGCAATTAGTATGCAACACAAATGCTACAACAAAGGTGGATGTCGAGGCAATGATATACCTGCTGCTTGGTCTGTCGCTTTTCGTCAGACTCGGGAACCACAGCACTGTTTTTTTTCCCTAACCATTTCCCTCGTTGCCGGGTCTTAAAAATGGCAGATTTGATTTTTGTGAACAAGATGCTCTCATGACTCATTGAGTGACTCCACTGACCAGTCAAATGGTGGCATGCAGTCTTACGACATCACATTTTAATACCTGTCCAGTTGAGTAGGTACTATTGTAGCACCTTGTACCGGCTACTATCACCTATTGGAAAACCTTGAAAACCTTGGCGAGTCCAGTCGATTCGAATGGGTACTAATGGAAAAGGGGCTACTGTCAGTTGAAGCAGTTCTCCATCTGCTGAAGGTTTTGGATATGCTACCCTTCTCATCTGCAATCTATAATGGTCAACTTGAGAGTATGTTGGACAGTGGGCCTAGCTGGTTAGTGATAACTTTCCAAAAATAAAAGTGAGGAGTTTGTCCAGTACTGAAGAGACTGTGTCAGTGGATTGTGGGGGAACAAAAGAAAAAAAAAAAAAAGACAAAGATTGCAAAATAGAATTTAGTTGGGTGGCTCGCCCAAGTAAGTGTGTGACAAACACTGTAGTTAACGTACTCAAGTCTGAACTCGAATGTCTCCTTGATTAAAGTGAAAAGAAAAGAAAATTAAAGAACAAAAAGAATCCATCTCTTCAGTGCACCTCTTCAGAAAGTACTGTCTGAGAAGCTTCTGATAACTAACAGGGATACATGCTGTATGCCTAACCATTGCTTACAGCTCCAAGTCCCATGATCTTTTGTGCTGCTCTGCCTCTGCTCAAGAACCATAATGAAAAACAGACAAGCTCTCCCTTTGCAGCAACCACAAAAACCCCTACTCACTACACATGAGAGATTAGCTTGCTCATTAGGAGAGAAGGAAGGACGAGGAGAGAGGGAAGGAGGACAAAAAGGAAGAGGGATGCTTTTCAAGGAGGAGGGCAAGGGTGCTCTCTCCAGAAAACAGGCCGGGTCCCCCTTTTCTTACAGACAATGCCAATCAGAAACGGCTATTTAAAGAGGTGACCTGCTTTACATGTTTTGCAGCAGTGGTGGAGGTCAAACAAAAGTTAGTTTATATATGAAGCGTGTTTGTGCAAAGCTGTTGTCTCATTAAAGAGCTTATAATCAGTGCCAGTGACTTTTAAATAAGACTTTCTACACGAAATTGTCAGTTGAAAAACAGTTTTCTCACACTACTACTTATGCTCTCCAGCTGACAACCTCAATCACTCATCGTTCATGTCAAAATACATGAATTTAAGATGATGAATGCCGCGTGGAGTGAGGCAAAGTAGGGGGGAAGAAAGAAACATCAGTGGTTTGCAAAACACTCACTTGCTGGGAACCAGCCTTGGGCCAATTTAGTCTATTCAGCTCTTAGAGAAATAAGCTAAATGGCTCAAGGATGTGAAAGGTTGTTCTTGGGTATGAGAGATGCTAATTTGAGGTGGTGCATGTGAATCACAGGATGACAGCTCACTAAAGTGGCTAAAGAGGAGGGAAACAAACCTTCTGGGGGGAGGGGCTTCAAATACAGGCAGGTGTGCTTAAAGGAGCCAATATACCTCTAAACCTTTATGAACTTATGCTGTGGTTAATGTTTGACTAAACTATTTGCCTGGATGAGAACAGACAGATGAACGAATGAAGCGAGAAGCTTATTTTAAGGAGCATCTTGTTGGCCATGTAAAACCGCACATTTCAACAGCTCTAATTCAGGATGTTGAAATGTGTTTAGTGGGACTTTCCTGAGAGGAGGGGGGGGGGAAAAAAAAAAAAAAAAAAAAAAAATCAGTCAATTTCCCCTGTGAGCCACATCCAAACAGCTACCTCATTTGTCACAAGCTTCCATAATGCATCAATCAATTCCCAAAAAGCTGTCGGCAGAGCAAATACAGGAAAACAGCGGCATGTGTTTAAATTATGGAAGCTTAATCCACAGTTGTTATAATAGGACGTGTGGCAGTGTGTGCAGAGTAATTACATACGATGATGAAGTCGGGTGCAAAAAGGTCTCCCATTCAATCAGTGGATTTTGCCAGGAGACACATTAAGTTTATATTTGTATCATAAATTGTTTCACTCAGTCGCACATTAGCAAAAGGTCAATTAGAAGCAAAAAGCACAGAGCAACCAAGTGCCTTTGAAGGTATGATGCCAGACTGTATGTGCTACAGAGCAGCTACTGGGCCCCAAATTGTTGCACTTCATTTGCTCTGCACTCTGCAGAGTCACGTGTTATGCATATTTTCCCCCAGTCTTTCTGTCAAGGCCCAAGAGGGGGAAAAAAAGAAAACAAAACACAAGAGAGACAGTAAATTTTGTGTGAAGTGACATCTAATATGAAAAAACCCCCTCAGGGAACAAAACTTGTAATTTCATGTATCTATGCAGAGATGTTTGTAGTGCGGTTGTCCTTAAGTTGGCATATGTGTTTCTGGGCTGGGCCTGTAGTCACTTGTGGTTTCGTACATGTATCTATGCACACACTGCTCCACAGCCTCTTTCCCTGCAGACTTGTTGCAGCTGTGTATGTTGTTTTTGCTCATCACTGATATTTATTATGTTACACTGTGAAAAACTGGCCCTGCCCCCTTTATTTACTACCGCCATGTCGGTTACATATTCAACACATAATGTTTTCAGTAGAAACAGCTGTGCATTCTCAACTTAATACTCAATATTTTTGTCTCCTTAAGTTCAGAAGAAAGATGAAAGGAGGTTTCTCATTTCTAGGTGGTGGCTTATCATTTGCTGAAATTACAACTAATGGGGCAGATTTCTGGCACTCACTGGCTGGTTCCCAATGAGTGCCAGTTCTGTGTGAAAATGGCTTGTTGATGCCATAGGTCAAAGAAGAAAGGCCCGATTCCAGCTGACAGGAAGGCTACAGTAACTCAAGCAATGGCTTTTTACAACCAAAACATGCAGTAGAGCATCGTTGAATACATTGAACCTTGAAGCAGCAGAAGCCAACACAGGGTGCCACTTCTGTCAGCTAAGAACAGGAAACTAAGGCTATAATTCACATGCGCTCACCAACATCAGAAAAACATCACCTCATCCGATGAGTCTCGATTTCTGTTGCAACATTCGGATGGTAGGGTCAAAAATTGGTATTAAAAAAACAAAAAAAACCAAAAACAAGCATGAATCTGTCCCAACTCGTATCAGTGGTTCAGGTTGTTGGTAGTTGTGTAATAGTGTGGAGGACTTTATCCTGGCACACTTTGGGCCCCTTAGTAACAAATGATGATTGTTTAAAACATTGTTGCTGTCCATATCAATCCCTTTGCAACAACAGTGTCTCATCTTCTGATATCCTGTTGAAAGCAGCTAAGACACCCTGTCATAAAATTACTCAATATCCTATTTACAAGAGAGACTGTTTCAGACAAACATATTAACAAATACAAATAATAAACGATATCTCACACACGCACATGCACACGCACACAGAAGCAACACTCACCTGTTCTTTCAGAGGTGCAATTAGAAAAAAGCTGAAGTAAACTAAAATTGAGAAGCTGTACCAAGCCCCCAGAATAAGATAAATCAGGGTTAATTTGAACTGAATCATGCATAGCTACCCTACTGAAGTACAAGCATAAAAATATAGAGCTGAAAATGAGGATAATAAAACCTCAGTAATGAAGTAGGAGCAAGTAAAAGAGAAAAAAAAAGAAGCACTGCTCTGAGTTCACAGTGCTGAAACGAGTCCTCTATTTAATTCTGTTCATGTTTTATTTGCTTGATATGCAAACCGAGACAAGCAATATTATATTTATACTTTATTGTTGTGGCATTTGCATTTCATTTTTCCACTTTAAGCATTCTAAGAAAAAGGCTTTTAAGACAGGGTCATTTGCATGTAATATTAAAAATTTCTCTTTACATTTGGTTGTTGTAGTTTTCTTTATGAAAGGATGTAAAAAAGGAAACCATTACGGTGATATGCACAGACCTGTAGATTTTGGAGAAATAATGCCAAAACTCACTCACAGCCACAATGTTAAGCCACAACTGGTCATCAGTGAAAACAAATTACACTTACTGTATGGGAAACTGATGCGAGGTATGACATCTTCCTCAGTGGCAATCACTGACTGGAGAAAGCTAGCCAATAGCAGTGCAGCAGCAGGAAGACATTGGACAGTCCCAGTTAATGTCCACATGGTTGCCTGCTTGTCTAAGATGAACACGGATGTACAAGGTTTGTTTTAAGATTCCTTGGAACACATTAAACTCCTATTGATGCCACAGAGGGTTATTTTCTCACTCCCATCTTCCTGCAAGTCAAAGGGGGGTGGATCGTGTCCTTGATTCGAGTCTTGTATTCCCAGTGGTCTTTACATACAGTTTGTAGCCTCTTAGTCTAGAGAAGGGGAATCCTTTCTGGATTAAAGGCTGCTGGATTTCATCTTCTCATAGTGCTCTGCGGTTGATCAGTGCTAAGCTCCAACCAGACTCCACTTAGTTAAAGTCATCTTGGATCTGTGGAAAGGAGAGAGAGAAGTTTTTTCTTTATGTGTGTTCCAACAACAGTTTTAAAAAAAATAAATAAAAAAAAAATAAAAAAAAAGATGAAACACAAGCTGGAATAACAGATCCTTATCCAGCTTCTGACGCTATAACCATAAACTACAAACGCAAAAGGACTAACACATTCAAGCAGCGGCTCATTCTAGAGGATGCTGTGGATTTCAATTCAAACAGCTGTTATTTGAGAGGAGTGTTCATTAGTTTTGCCAGCAACAACGGCATCACCCAAAAATGACCTTCCACATCCATCTGCCCCTCAGCTTTCAATAGTGAACAAACAACCTTTTGTTTTAGTTTTTTTCCCACCACAAAGAAAACTCAGCAAAACAGATCATTCAGCGCTCTAACCAGCTAAAATGAAAATACTCATCATCTGGTAGCTTGAAGGGTTTCACAAACTTAAGCCTAAGTGAATATCCAATTTGCTGTTTGAAAGACGAAACGCCTACTACATTTTTTTTTAATCTCTGTATTTAATTATGCTGTCAACAAATCTGTGAGAGATCCCCCTAGAAGATAATACGGGAGTCTGGCTCCAATTTTGTGGCTATGTGGGGAAATAAAAGAACAGTGACTCCCAAGACAACCCGGTAATTTGTCACAAGAAGGTGCAATGAACAGCTTTTATTTGCTTTGTGTGAGTATACAGATCAGAAGCATGTTATGTAAATCTATACTGGTATTTTGTGTTTAGTGGGCTGTCAGTTTTATTGAAAAGCACTTAAAGTAAGCACCAGCCCATTTGTTTCAACCCTCTGAGTTTTTTGAAACAACATCAACAGCTATCAAACCTGTCATAATTTATTTTTGCTTGTTTGAGGAAAACACAAATTGTTGACACGAGCCCAAACCTTCAAATATGAAGATGCATTATGTTTCCTTTGAGGTCACGTTTATTGCAACTAGGTGTTGACACATTTCTGCCTTTGCTAGCCAGTGACAGAAACAGTGGTCTATTACAGTCATGGTCTATTTTTATTAATTACTGCCTGCTGGTTCAAAGAGGTTATGATGAACCGGAGCTGTAGCCACGAGAAAAAAAGCCCCTCTTTTCCTGTGAAATAAAATTGTATATGAGCAAGGTAGAAATTAAGTAAATGACCAGTGCAATACTTTAAAGCAGGAAATGAGCAGCTTTACAATAGCTGCGTCAGACAAAACTAACACTTAACCATCCGAAGCCACCTGTCCAGAATGTGGACGCCAACCTGCGTAGAAGGATATTTGTGATTAGCACCTTCATGTTGGTCTCCAACAAAACCTGAGGAAGATGGCTTTTAAGCTCTCTCTCAGTTTACTATCTAGTTGACACTTTGCTTGTTTACCATTTGAAACTGAACACAGGTGGCACCTTTTTATGAGTTTTTTTTCACTGATAACAAAGCATTTCTTTCACCAAAAGCAATGTCATGAGAGCACAGATACTGAATCAAAAAGAGCTGTGAAAAAAAAAAAAACTAAGAGCCTAGACTGTTTTTGTAAGCCTGGAGAAGTATTAAAGAGGTATTAAATTATAAAGTACATTCAGTGACTCCTGTTTGGTTTAACTTGTTAAATCAAAATAACCAGTTTTGTACACAGTATAGTGCAATTTCAAATTAACACAAAAATAGAAGCGCTATGGCCGAAACAAATGATCTTTTCTAAAATTTTGACCCAGTGATGATGCGAGTTGAAAGTCCAGGGGATCACCAAAGTTATTACAACCCTGTCTGAGGTGGGGTATGCACGCTTGCAATATATTTCAATCTTGGTCCAAGTGATGGCCTTACTGACTCCTTACAGCAATACCACATGCCTGTTGTGCACCCAAAACAGCTGTAGATCATATATTTGCCAGTGTTTTCAGACCTAAACCAGAGTGCAAACTATTACTTGATTCTTATGAATTCACCAATATCCTGACCGGAGTACAGATGCCTCCGTTCAGTGAGCTCAGTAAAGCCCTCGTGTTTGATATAACTCCCTACTCCTTATTGCCCGGCAGTGCTAGATGCCTCCCTGAAGAACCCACAGAGGTGGTTAGGTTTAGAAAGTAAACACTGCAGAGCACATGGCGTCTCTCGCATCATTGAAGGAACTCCCTGAAGACCTCATGCAAATATTTATGACAGCCAATAAATACAGCAGACCAAGATGAGCGTGGGACAATAAGTAGCTCCTGGGCATCTGCGGAGGTAGGGCCCAGCTGGAAAGTACCATTTTAAACTTTTGAGCAGCCTGAATAATACTTTTTAACATACTCTGCTACCTGCCCAGTCTGAAGAGTGGGGAGCTGACTTGAATACATCTGTATCTCAGTGTCACACCCTGGTCTCCCCTCCCCGGGGTCTGCAGCATCCAACTAATAGGTCTGTGTCACTCTTCACTTCACTGCCAGGCCTGCTGTGGTTCTTGCTGCTCCACTGAAGCTAGCTGAGTCACTGTGGGCTGAAACATCCACCCACGGTACTCTAACATTTCCTTTTGCCTCCGGTGGTCCCTCTCATGCCTGCTGGGACAACAAGCTTGGCTGCCCAGCATCTCTTGCACACCTCAAGCCTCCATGTTCCCAGGGCACATCCTTATTTAACTGCAAGTGTTTTAAATTTTAATGAAAAGAGAGGCGTGCTGTTAGAAGTGTTTCCTGCCACTCGGCTTAAAAGCTTCTTAATTCATCAAACTCTTTAGGGCAGTAATGCATGAAGAAATATCTCAACACACTTAAATTGACCTTTTACCACCTCAAAAATGTAGCTGATGCCCACCAAAAATTTCACCAAAATTTCAGTCATGAGTAATTTGGTTCCAATTTAATTGGTTCAGAAAACATTTTACACAATCGTGTTTGCTTAATTACAGCAAAAACATTCAGACCTATCACGTACACACCTAGTCGTGACTTCTACCAAAGAATTAAGCCAATAAACTAAAACAAAAACACATTTACTTACAGTTTACTCATCTGCCTCCTTACAGAAATATTGGCCTCAAAAAAAGAGAAAATAAAAAGTTTGTCTTGTCTTTTTTGACAAAACTATGCCAATAGCAAGAGGCCCATGCACCCGAATAGGAAACAAGGTATCTGGGGAATCCAAGACGCATGATGACTCATAAATGTTCATATAACTGGGCCCGGTGCCTGAGGAGCACTAGATGGACACTTTGCAGGCCTCAGGCAGATCTGTTCAGCCTTAACAAGGGCGCGAAGGCCAAGTAAACTGATGTAATACTGCATTCATCCTCTTTTCTTTCAGATTTTAAAAAGACCCCATCATACGTAAATGCATTTTAGTCAAAGTACTCATGCAGTGTCCTAATCCAATCTCAAAAGCAATGCAACAAGGGTCTGAAGGAAAAAAGTACTAAATATTAATAAGCATTAAATCATATTTGACAGCAAGTGCTCGACCAAAGAAAGTGATCTAATTAGAGGTAACAATTATAGGATTTATAGGATTAGAATTCTATTCAACCAGAGCTGTTACAGTAAAAGTGAGCAACTATACTCAATGCCACTGGACCCATCTGCTCATGCAGGCGAGGGTCTGCTGCTCCTTGTATCTGTGAAGGGTGAATCTGGTGCCATATTGCTTAAAGCTACAGATTCATTAACCTTCTGAACCTCCCTCGAGGCTCCCTATTAATTCCTGCATCTGTTCATATGGCAAAAGGATGTGAAAGACACATTGGGCGATACACTCCGTCAGGTCATGTCGAGTTCATTGGAAAGGTAGCAGCATGAATGCTAACCATTTGGCTAGCTTTTGATTACGTAAAAGACTGGGCTTTGTGCTAGGCTACGAATTCTCAATAACTCTTCTCTGCAAAGTGACTTGTCTCACATTTGGTCTTTGGCACAAAATGAGGCACTTATGGAGATAATCAGCAGCCAGGCAGGACCTTGTGATGAGAGCAGTATGACTGAGTTTGACATGAGGGTAGATTAGGCTGCGGTCCAATCCATTAACAGTATCATGAGCACATCTAAGTGAAAGGGAACTATAAAAGCATTTTTAATTGCACAAGTTGCCATCAAATCTTATCTGTGTCCGTCAGGCCAGATTTAAGGGTGACTTTGGGGAACTGTATCCAAAACGATGTAATGACTTCTTCCAGTAACAAAAAAGGACAGCAATGTTTAAATCAAATAAATGTTAACGTTAATGTTTAATGTGGCCTCTTGGGTTTAAATCACTATTTACAAAAGATTTGTGGAGCTATCATCTTCGGCAAAGAAGGCCTCAGTAGTCTACTGACAAGGCAGAGACTCCTTACTGTGTCTGTCATCATAACTCAGACTAGCAGCCTGCTTTCTTGGGTGCGCAATGCATAATTATTGCAAAAATCAAGATCGCTGAGGGAGGTACATTTTTTTCCCCCACCCAAATCAATGGCATGGACTCCAAATCATTTTTTTCAACCCACCTTGCTAGACATACCGGCAATATTTACTTTGTTTTTAAAGAACACGTCATCAGATAAATAGTTAATAGGTTAAACTAACTTTAACCTTTCTGAATCTTAATGAATCAGGGGTAAAAGGTGAACTACTTTTCAAATATCCGTGAGGTAAAACATTGCATGCTGTACTTTGCAGGAACATTGGGTGAAACGTTAACGCTTACTCTGTCCACTAGGGAATGGGACTGTGGGTAGTAGAAGGAAAACTTTCAGGTGAGCAGACTTCTCCCACACCAAGAAGGGAGTGCGCTAAATAAATCACGACTGGGTTAAAAATAAACCATAAGCACCCCGTGCAGCAGTTGAGACAGCACCAATTGTTTGCTAAGCTGGCAGAGCACATAGTGAATTCATCATCACAGTGACTCTGTGAGTTTACATGACGGTTAAGCATGAGTCAGCATGTCTGGATGAGGGAGCTCAGGGATAAAGATGTCAGACAACAGAGATGTGTAGACAACTGCGATGATGTCATTAATTGCAAACTCGCATGTAGATATCACTCTTAA